GGTGAGGCCGGCGCCCGTCAGCTTGTTCACGAGAGCGCCGGCTGCGCGAGCACCCTTTCGGACTCCTGTCCCGCCCCGGAGCCGCTCGCAGCGGCCGCGGGTTCCACCTCCTGTCCTCCCCTCAGGCCCTGCTCTGTTCCTGCTTCATCCCGTTCTACTGCGGCTTGATCCCGCCGTCCTTCAGAGGCGTGGTGAGTCTGCTGTCTGCCGCAGGGCCGGGCTCGGCGGGCGCCCTGGACCGGAGCCTTTCCCCAGGAGGCCTGGGTCGGGGCCGCCAGGCCCCTGGGCGCAGGACGCAGCCCGGCTCTCGAGGGTCGGCCGCTCCTCAGCCTCCTGGCCGGGCGGCACGCAGGGCCCAGCCAGGGCTCCAGAGGCTCAAGGCCGGCTGCCACCTTGCAGGGAGCTTGCTCCTTTGAGCGGAGGGTCTTGGCCCTCGTCCGCCTGGCCTGGCTCTGGCTGTGGGCAGCGCGGCCAGCCTGCCGCCTGGGCTCATCCTGTGCCCGTGCGCTTGGGGCGACTCCTGGCCCTGCCTGGTGGGGAGCAGGCATTGAGGTGTGTGTTCTGCAGAGTCTGGACTGGACACTGGGCCCGCGCAGCCCCGCGGCCTAGAGACGCTTCAGCGGGCCATGGTTGGGGGTGCCCCGGCGCTTACAGCGTAGGGCCTGGGGTGCTGCTCAGCACCCCCATGTGCAGGACAACCTGGTGCCAGCCATGCCAGCGTGGGAAACGCTGCTGGGGAGAGGACAGCGACGACCCCGACTCAGGGCCGAGGCGGTGAGCGTCGGCTTTCACGGCCGAGCCGTCACCCGCAGGGGAGGCCGGGGCCTCACTGGCGCCCAGCGCAGCCTCTAGCTATAAGGTGCGAACGCCCCCGAGGCAAATGCCGTTTTCTGAGGGCGTCCTGGGCCAGCTTCGCTGACTGGCGTCTGTCCCCAGGCCTCCCTGGTGTTGGGTTTCTTTCTGGGGTGCAGCGAGAGAGCCAGGATTCCCCCCAGCAGGGCAGGGGCTGGGACTGAGCCCGGGACCCTCTGTCTCCTCTGGAGCGGAGTCCAGCCCACTGCACGTGTCCGTGCAAAGTCCTCGGCGCCACGCGCTGCCCAGACGGCCCCCTCCGCGCCCGCCGCTCTCGCCCAGGGCACGGACCGCACAGCAGCAGGGCGGGGGGCGGCGCCCAGCGTGGCCGGCTCAGTGGGGACTTGGCGGCCTGACCCCGGCGCCCGGCCGTGGCGCGGAGAAGCCGCCGCCCGCAGTCTGGAAGAAACCTGAAGCGCTGACGGCCCGTCCGGTCTTTCCCCTTCAAAGCGGTATGTGGACGGAGGGCTGTCCAACAACGTGCCCCGCGTGGACGACAGAACCACCATCACCGTGTCCCCCTTCTACGGGGAGAGCGACATCGGCCCCAAGACCGTCTCCACGAACTTCCTCACCGTGGACTTCACCAGCCTCAACCTGCGCGTCTGCTCGGAGAACGTCTACTTCGTCATCCGGTCGCTGATGCCCCCCAGCCTCGGGGTGAGCGGGGGGCACGGCCCGGGGCCGCAGAGCCCGTGCTGCCCGCTTGCCAGGACGTCTCCTAGGCCTCTCTAACGGGCAGGTGGGCGGGCGGGCAGGTGGGGAGGCCGGCAGGTGGGCAGGTGGGCAGGCAGGCGGACAGGTGGGCAGGCAGGCGGACAGGTGGGGAGGCGGGCAGGCAGGTGGGCAGGCAGGCTGGGAGGTGGGCAGGCGGGCAGGCAGGTGGGGAGGCAGGTGGGGAGGCGGGCAGGCAGACAGGCAGACAGGCAGGCTGGTCTTGGGCCATCAGGGCCACGCCAGCCCAGAGCCTGTTTCCAGGAGCAGGAGGTGCGGGTGATGCTGTCGGGGCAGCCGGGGGGAGGGCTTGCTTTCTGTCCCCGATGACCCCGGGGGCAGGCTGAGAAGCCCTCTGCGCCTAGAGACCTCATCTTTTGATGATCCCTGTGGGAGCGCGGGGGGGCCCTGCAGGGTCAGTTTTGGGGAGGAAGGAGCAGAACAATGCCACATGCCCC